CAAACGCACAACAGTCTGACTGTTACACAATCGCACAACAGTCTAACCGTTACACACAAATGCACAACAGTCTGATCGTCACACGCAATCGCACAACAGTCTGACGTTACACACAAATGCACAACAGTCTGACCGTTACACTATCGCACAACAGTCTGACTATTACACAAATGCACAACAGTCTGATCGTTACACAATCGCACAACAGTCTAACTGTTACACAATAGCACAACAGTCTGACCATTACACACAAACGCACAACAGTCTGACCGTTACACAATCGCACAACAGTCTGACCGTTACACACAAACGCACAACAGTCTGACCGTTACACAATCGCACAACAGTCTGACCGTTACACACAAACGCACAACAGTCTGACCGTTACACAATCGCACAACAGTCTGACCGTTACACACAAACGCACAACAGTCTGACCGTTACACAATCGCACAACAGTCTGACCGTTACACACAAACGCACAACAGTCTGACCGTTACACAATCGCACAACAGTCTGACCGTTACACACAAACGCACAACAGTCTGACCGTTACACAATCGCACAACAGTCTGACTATTACACAAACGCAGAACAGTCTGACCGTCACACAATCGCACAACAGTCTGTCTGTTACACGCAAAGTGCTCTAACTTAGTGATTGTTATCGGGATGTGAAGAGAACCAGCATAACAACCAGCAATATCTAAGAACAAGAGGCAGGTTTTGATTTATAGCTTTATAAGTTGGTTTCATTGGCTTTATAGAAACAATAAAGCAGCTCTGTGTCTTTTTGTATATAATCAAGATAATCTTAATTTATTAGTTGCAGAATTAAGTCTAACAAAACAAACATGAATATTTCAGCACGCTGCATATGAAATGTGTGGTAAGGTTTGATGTGAAGCGAGTACATTTGTAGAGGTTAATCTCAGTCTCTCTGAGAGTCTGGGCTTCTAGTGTCTTCTGTCGTTAATTATTAAGCGTCGGGTCGGCCTCACCCCCGCCATCTCTCTAGTGTTCAGCTTCAAAATCAAATTAGCTAAGAAAGAGACCACTCCAATCTCATCCTTCCCTATGGCCCGACTGCCCGCGGCAATAAACAGTCAGATTTTCAGCTTTCATTACTGCGTGTGGATTTAAACAGGCTCCTGAATGTCCCAAATGAGCCGCAACTTTTCTGGACATAGCAGTTTCTTTCATTGTACTGATCGCAGTGCTGCTCGTCTAGTCATGAATGTGATCCAGTAGATCATCCGTTCGACTCTCAGGGTTGTGCTCCAGAACTCGAGTAACATTGACTGTAAAATTGGGGTAATGTGATCATATTTTCTTGACCTGGTAAGGACTCTAGCCGCTGCATTTTTGACTATCTGTAGCTTGTTTATTGAAGATGCAGGACAACCACGTAGCAGTGCATTACAGTAGTCCAGTCTAGAGGTCATGAATGCATGAACTAGCTTTTCTGCATCAGAAACAGGTATCATGTTTCGTAACTTGGCAATGTTTCTAAGATGGAAGAATGCTGTTTTTGTAACATGGGAAATATGATTTTCAAAAGACAAGTTGCTTTCTAATATAACACCCAGATTTTTGACTGTAGAGGAGGTAACCGTGCATCCGTCTAGTTGCAAATTGTAATCCACGAGATTCGGCGTACTGTCTTTTGGTCCAATAAGTAATATCTCTGTCTTATCCGAATTTAATAGGAGAAAATTATTGGTCATCCATTCTTTTACATTTTTAACACACTCCGTTAGCTTAGATAATTTAGAAGTTTCATCTGGTCTTGTTGAGATATATAGTTGAGTATCATCGGCATAACAGTGGAAACTAATCCCGTATTTTCTAATAATATTACCAAGTGGCAACATGTATATCGAAAATAGCAGAGGACCTAGGACAGATCCTTGTGGCACTCCATAACATTTACACTGCAAAACATTTTCATTTCTTTGTCTTGTTTTCCAGTACAAATATCGAAACATTCTCAAATCAAGATAGAATTACTTGAAAAGCAAAATGACGTTAGATAAGAAAAAGAGATAGCAAGAAAAAATGTCTGCCAATGGGGTCTGAAAAATCAACTTCTTTCCTTCTTTAAACAATAGTCACTTAATTTTGATACATTTTTTCAGAAATCGGGACTTACTATCTTAATTTTGCTTCTCAAGAAAATGTCATTTGATTTAAGGAAGTTTAGATATTTGTACCGCAAAACAAGACAAAAATACTGTGGAAGAAAATCATCTTTTACAGTGCATTTAGACTTATAGCTGAGAATCATGAACAATATTGGATGTAATGCATTTAATTACAGAGAGGGATTACTCTTAGTTTTTCTGTAATTGAATTACTGTTACTTCTCATATAATTGCATCAACTATAAAACAAATTCTGTACAAGTCAATAGTGATTGAACATCAAAATTTAACATCTAATGCTATAAAATTGATGTTTTAATGTAACCTTTAAAAACGTTAAATACTTATTTCAGATATTTGAAAAAATTAAAAGAGCCATTTCATGTCTCTCCTTTTGTTGTTCAACTGGTCGAGTTTGTTATGGGATGCAATATTTTAGAGAGAGTAATCTAATTACTGTTGAAGATGTGATTAGTACCTAGTAATAAATTACTTGTTTAGAGTATCTTACACAACACTGATCATGAATTCAGTGAAGGAGAGGAAGAGCTTTCAGAGATGTTTTTAATGCACTATTGTTTTGTTGCTGTGTTTGCTGCTTGTATTTCCATTTTCCCAAAAATGTCGTATAAGCACAAAAGTGTGTATTCTTACTCTGTTTGAGTTGATGCAGGTGCTCTGTGCTAGTTCAGGATTTGTGATTTAATTCTATGCATCAGGTTTAGTTCTCACTATTAATGACATTTAATTTGCCAGTTAAAGTACAATGCGTCTCTTGGAGTTTGTCATTAAGTGTCATTTGTTGCAGTTTAAGAAATAAAAGCAAAGGAGTGAACCATGAATAAAGCTGCAGTCATTACTCTAGTTACTGATGGTGCTCACGGTGGCACTTGCTCACTCCAAACAATCATCGTGAAACAAGTGCGCTGCGCTGAGGATGTGAGATATTACTTTGTGCACATGAGTCATAATGCTATTCTGATGTTGGTCTTGTTGTCACCGCAACTGTCACATGAGGCCATGTTTGACCAATCACAGACTGGAACCATGATTTTTAATCTATAACGAGAGTTGTCACGAAAACACAGACTGACAGGCTGATGTGTTGTGTACACGTTCACAGATTGTTTCTGCGGATTGAACGTTTGAGAAGGTTTGTCATACAGATCTCCTCGCTTGTTTCCATCAGCTTCCTTCAAGTGCAATTTAGAGAAGATACTAGAGGATAATCATCAGGATTCAAGGTTCCTCTCAGAACGTTCGATTCTGCCCTCTCTGGGAACAGATTGCTCTGAATTTCCTTGCGTATCGTAAGATATTCCAACAAATTTAATAAACGCAGGAAATATTGTTGTGCCCGGTGGCACATTAACACATCGGCTCGTATAATTCACAAACCAGCAGTGTCAGTTACTGAATTATCAGACTCCATTCGGCGCCCTTGACAGATCGTTCCTCTAAACGGCTGGTCGCCTCCGGCGGCTTTTTCTAGAAATGGATATAAAAGATTTGACAGCGGTGAATGGGCATTAAATTTATACCGATCTTCTTGGTGAACCTTTCCCCAGACTCTCAACCCGCAGACGCACGGCTCTACATTGGGGCTGTTGGGTGGGATGGACTCTGTGAAAGATGCCATTAACATACTGTTTCCTTTTCAGCTTCTAACAGACGTATGTGTGTTCTGAATGTTAATATCACCTTTTCTCCTGGTGGACTCTCTCAGTTTCTTTGAGCTTAATGACTTTGTTCATCAATATGCAAACAGGAAACTCTTTTTGAAGGTTCTTCTGGTTAAGGGGAGGGTGCCATGTTGATGCCATGGTTTTTAGGAGGTTTCCCAAAACGCAGCAATGTTTGTCACACTAATTTGCCTCATCATGTGAATAACAATGATGTGCATTATGTGTTTAAACAGAACAATCTCTTCTGCACCCCATTTTCCTAGATTCATGCTCCATCTCAGGTGTTGATGCCACATATGAAACTGTTTCACGATTCTGAGCTTAATCCTAATGAATACTTTACATCTTGTATAATTTTAACTTTTGACATTCTTTGACATTCAGTTCCGGAGAAAACAGGCTTTTGTTATTCATGGTATGAGATTTCAAGGGACAGACTTGTGGATAATTATCTTGAAAGATTTGGTCTGTGTTTTGGGGGGGAAAGTCTTGTGGGACAGTAATTTGAAAATATCACCTTCGGTACCCCGGGGTGAGAGTGGGAAGTTTTGCATATAGATCCTCATCATTAGCAAGCTATCACCATGCCAACGGGGAGCGGGGATTATGAGCTTTATGAGCTCTGGGAAAACGTTCACTGAATGATGAATTAAAAACAGTTTACCTACTTTGAAACATGGGCTGAAATTTGTTTATCACTATCCCAGAACAATCTTACACAGCTTTCTTTTTGTAATTTTTTTTTCATGCAAAAATCATGCGGCCAATTTGTTAATGTAAGTGACCTGTACTACGTGGTTTGCTCTCTTCTTAAACATGCAGTCAGTGAGTGGAGGTTAGCACAGCTAGCATTAGCACAGATGTAGAACTGTTTTTGTAGGATTGATCTGAATGTACATTCTAGCTTATGCACTGGATAGTTGGTTAGCACATACTTAACTTTAAATGTTTCTCTGTATTATTCTAACCCTGTAATGTATACGACTAATTCTTTAGCATTAGCCTAGCTGTTTATAGTCTGATTTTAAATAGATGCTAACGAAACTAACTTTAGAACTAACCTCATTAAGTCTTAGTCCTAACCATTCTAATGATGTCTCTTCTCTCTCTCTTGTGCACTCATTTGCTCAGGTTCCAACTAACACTGTGTTCCTTCTCTCTTTCATCCTAGGAGGTGAACTAGTGTTGCCAATTATAACTGTGGATTCCCTTGACCCCCCATCAATTGTGACACTTTACCCCGTTATTCCCCCGCCCCCGACCTATCGCCCCTTCCTCACCTTGCTCGAGACCACCAAAGAGTCTCTCCCCTTGCCCGGCCGGCCCCCCTGTCCGCTGGACCAGGAGGACTGTGAAGAGCCCATAGAGGTCTCGGCCTACGGCTCGGGCGAGATGACGGAGTCCGACGATGAGGATTACTATAAAAACTCCCCCCTTGTCACTGACCGGACCGTACTCCCCCCTCCCCCCGCGGCCGGGAACCCCCGAGGCGACCGGCCCTTCGCCCGTTTGCCCAACTCCCATCGGCCGCCACTCACATTCACCCCCACGGCCCCCCCAGTGACCCGACTCAAACCTGGCATCAACAGTGGCCCCAACATCCCTGCGGGTAAAATGAACACCCGTGACCAGGTGCTGCTGCCACCCGTACAACCGTCGGGTGACCCTGAACACGGCGGGCAGCATCGACACATCCCAGGTATAACATATCCTCCCAATTTCCCCTATGTGCCCACTACAGACCCCTCGTCACCAGACCGAGGGCCTCCAGGAGCGGTGGAGGTGATCCGAGAGTCCAGTAGCACGACAGGCATGGTGGTGGGCATCGTGGCCGCGGCAGCTCTCTGCATCCTCATCCTGCTCTACGCCATGTACAAGTACCGCAACCGCGACGAAGGCTCCTACCAGGTGGACCAGAGCCGCAATTACATTAGCAATTCAGCCACGCAAAGCAACGGCACCCTAGTGAAGGAGAAGCAGCCTGGTGCAACCAAGACGGGCACAAAGAGCAAGAAGAACAAAGACAAGGAGTATTATGTCTGAGCTCGGCCTCCGGAGAGACCGATGCGGAAGCGAGGGGGAGAAGGAGAGAGATAGGATGAGGAATGGAAAGGGAGGTCCAGGTATTTGTTGGCAGTTTACCTGTCACATTTAGAGTTCTGACATCAGTCTTCTTTAATTTTCTGTCTTGTCTAGCGGTTGGCCTCATTTCTAGCAAGACCTAAAGAGTTCAAAAGCGTCTAGGGTTTGGAAACATCCCCTCCCTCATTTCCATTTTTGATAGCCAATCCCTATTACAAAAAGAAACTCTCCAAACCTTTTGTATTGAAGAGAAGTGGATTTTTCCTCACATGTAATTTTACGCTCTAGTTTGTTCTTTGTAAATACTAGGTGAGTCCTCAATATTCAGATCATCTCCTAACCTGATGTCGAAACCCCCGTGTACGCCAGGGTGCTTGTGCGATCCATTGTTGCTCCATCAGAACATAGGATGCGGTTGAGAATTGTTTGGGAACGAGAGCAGTTCAGTTGGAACGGCTTGGCATAGGTGACATTTCAGGAACAGATGGTGCCGAAAATGTTTAGCACTCACACTCCTCCGTAATACTGCCAAACCAGCTCTGTGTCAAATCCGTCTCCCTCTCTTTCCAAGTGCTTCACATTTCCATCCTCCGCTCTCAACATCCCTCTCTTTCTCTCTTTCCCCGCACCCTTTCTTGGCTTGGTCTCTTTTTCTCCTTGTCCTTGGTGCTCAGGAGCAGATGCAACGTGATTCTGTTGTGTTTCCAGCATGTGGTATTCAAAATGAAAAGAGACAAAAACTGTTTCTATGGAGTCAAATAAATATATAGCTATATCTCAAACCGTTACAACTAGCGAAACATCTGTGGATGATCCCTTCAGCCGCCATAACTCCCGGAGGCCCATGGTAACCCCACGTTCCAGCAAATATTCATCATGCGTTTTTGGGGTTCCACTGGGCTCTGTCCTGGACCCGCTGAGGATCTTGGTTTCTGCTCCACATTCAAGAACCTGAAACCCCCAACAGCAAATAGATAATATTCATATACAGATATTTGAAAAGACAAAGGGACACAAGCGTCTGGAAGTCAAGACCAACATCACGTCAACAAACCATATCAGTGGAAACAGCAGAGCAGGATGCTAGGATGTCTTTTGTTTTGTTTTCTATGTATGTGTGCGTGCTTTCTTTTATATTTTGTCACGTCAAAGGGAAAAGACAATAATGTTCCAGTTAATGTACATTCCACGTAGGGAACGTGAACTCTCCTGCGTCTTTGACCACGTTCTCTCAGGAGGAAAGTAGGGATAAACTCTGCGCATTTAATGGAACTAATTTCTCTTGAAAGAAAGACAAAATGGCCTGTTACTTTGAAGATGTACATCTTGAACTCTAGTATTCTAATTTTCTCAACTCTATTAAAAGAACTAAACTCTGCATTGAAAAGAAAATGTTTAAAACGTTTGTGAAATGTCTAAATATTTGAATCTCACCCCAGTGCTAAAAGAGATGTTTTTCCTAATTATCATCCCTAAGAAAAAGAAAGCAAGTGCAATGAAATCCAAAGATCAGTGAATCGGATTCCAGAAAGCAGATGCTCTTTTGAATATTAAACAGCAAAATGTGATTTGGTTTACAAGAGAACATTTCCTTTACCAGGTGTGAGTATCTCCTTGTATCCAGAAGACTTTGATCATCGACTCCATCCTCCGTTTAAATCATGTTGCTCGCTTTACCCAGCGTGTGGAGGGCTGTTCATTCTCCATACTCGCTCAACGAGGATCAGACTTCATCATCATTTGATTTCACTCTTCCATCTCTGTGTGTTTGCGTGAGCGTTTGTGCACTTGTTTGTCTGTGTGAATGTGTTTCCATTCTTTCCGTTCCTGTTCAGGTTTGTCGGTTGCGTTTCTCCTCAGCTCCCTTGTTCTTTCTAAATGTTATTGTAGAGTGTTCCAGTGAGATGAATCTGCATACGTGTATATTAACAGAAGGGAATACAATTGGTTATATACTTCTTACGCCCCGTGTCATGTGCTTATTTCAGATTCACACTTTTCTTCCAGAATAATCTTCCTCACTTCAGCTCAACACAAACACTTTGAGAGTGTAAACTGGAGTGTATTTGTGGTACAGTGTAACTCTGGACTTGTAAAAACACGTTTATGTGAGTGCCGGTAAGTCTTTGATTCTCATAATGCTACATGGTTTCTTATTCAACATTTAAAATAAAGCTGAAAACATTGTAATGATCAGAAAATGAAACCTTTGTTATCTTGCATTGGAGTCCTGATATGATTCCAATAGCAGAATAAGAATGACGTTGAATTGGCAGATATAAATACGGTTAATTCATATTTTATTATAGTGTATTATTCCTTATAATTTTTATTGGTATGTCAATTCATTAATTATAGATGCCAATTAATATTAGTTTTATTTCCTATCACTTATCATTAATCACTATCCTACGGTCCACAGTGAATCGTCGGAGGGGCGCTCGTCCTGTCCTGCTGCGATAGGCCTGGTTCTCATTGTCGGTCAGCATTCAAACACAGACTCACCTCTCTGGCCACTGAATCGCATGCTATGACTGTCAGTTCAGACAGTCACAAACAGTTCAACTTTTACAGCGTGATTTATATTGTATGGAAGCCCTGAACAGCAATGTGGAGAAAACAAAAGTCAAGGTGGAAGAAAATCGTCTTGGATCCTTCCTGAGCCCAAGTCTTCCGAATTTGTTTTCTCTCTCTCTGAATGCTTTTTCTCGCACTTAAAAGATTTTTCTCATTCCATTTTTTTTTTCCGTCAAAAATCATTTTCTCTCCCAAAAAATGTACTTCTCTCTTCAATTTTTTTCCTCAATAGGCAACACAAAAGATGTAAACAAATGAAAGTCCTGAACCGAAACATGGAAAAAGATTTTGAGAAAAAAATGATTTTGGAGCAAGACGAAAGTTTTTGGTTTTGGGTGAGAAGAAAAAAAACGTAGGACTGTGGTTCGGGAAGGACCTGAGGTGACACTGGTGTTATTTTTTATGTTCTGCACCTTGACTTCTGTTTTCACATTGTGGTTCAGGGCTTCCACAGTATTGTGTTGGTTTTGTGCTTCGTCTAGCTGATGTTGAACGTGTCGTGCCATAAAACATTTTTCTCTCCAGTTTTTTTCTCTTTAAAACATTCTCTCTCTCTCTCTCTCTCTCTCTCTCTCTCTCCCTCTGGATTGTTTTGTCTTCAAAGAAAAAGATTTTGAGAAAAAAATGATTTTGGAGCAAGACGAAAGTTTTTGGTTTTGGGTGAGAAGAAAAAAAACGTAGGACTGTGGTTCGGGAAGGACCTGAGGTGACACTGGTGTTATTTTTTATGTTCTGCACCTTGACTTCTGTTTTCAGATTGTGGTTCAGGGCTTCCACAGTATTGTGTTGGTTTTGTGCTTCGTCTAGCTGATGTTGAACGTGTCGTGCCATAAAACATTTTTCTCTCCAGTTTTTTTCTCTTTAAAACATTCTCTCTCTCTCTCTCTCTGGATTGTTTTGTCTTCAAAACACTTTTTCTCTCTCTAAATTTTTTTTCTTTCACATAAAACATTTTTCTGTCTCTCCAATTGTTTTTTTCTTTCAGAATGTTTTTCTGTCCCAAAGACATTTCTTTCACTCCGATTTTTTTTCTTGCTCCAAATTTTTATTTTTCCTCTACCAAAACAATTTTTCCTCTCTCTCCAAAAAAACTTGGCCAAGTAATGATGGGCAAAGAGTCTAGTGTCTGGTGCGTTTAGTTACAGTGACAGTGAATGATATATGTAACCTGAGTTTGTCTTCATTTCTATTTGCCAAACATTCTCCTAAATGTAATATTCAGATCATCAAAGAAAGTAGTGTAAGCAGTTGCTTTAATGCTTAATGATTGCGGCACCTGATGTCTGAGGTTGGTACTGCACGCGAAAAAAAAATAGGAGACAAAAAAATGGTGAGCAAGAAAAAAGTTTTTTGGTAGGTTTCGGAGTAGGTGTGGAGTGGGGTTAGGATTAGGTATAGCGACTTCACTAAGGGGGTAATAATTTGGTCGAAATTGGGCACGCAACACTGGCATCTACAGCTACTAAAATACAATGAAATGTGCAAACAAAATAAATTGTCAGCCATAAATTCAGACACGTGTTTTCACCTGCTGTTAAACATGAGTGATAAATAACCAATGCAAAAAAACAACAATCATTTCAGGACAAACGATGTGAGGATTGAATATGTGAAAGATGGGAAGCATTGAAAAGTGCAGATGTGTTTCAGAACAAACACACATGGCTCTCCTCCAGTTTCCATAGAAACAGGCTTCTGTCCTTTGTGTGTGTGTGTTTGGGGTTTAACTGGTTCTCCAGTGATTTCTGCAAACAGACAGAAAAATAAAACAGACCGCTGAAACTGAAGATGAAAACTTGCCAGTGTTTGCCTTCTGACCGATGATTTATTCAATAATCGGGAGATTTAAGACCGTTTATTTAATAAATATCACAATCCATAACGCTTGTAGTCCTGGAAACCACAGCTTGTCCCTGATATTTCCAGGTTTTCATGAACACGGTCTACTAGCAAACACATCTTCAACACAGAACGCTTTACAACAATAACAGCCTTACTGACACACACACGAGAATCACACAGAAACACACTCTCCATTCACTCAAACAGCTCATCTACAGAATACAAAATAAACTGTTTTGTGTAAGAAATAATTATGGCACAGAAATAATAATTTACTTTTTGTGCTTATGCACCAAGAGCTTGTAACACTCCAAAGAGAAAGAACAATTTGAAATCGCATCATATGACCCCTTTAAATGTGGACTATACTATATATTCAACTTTAAATAGAGAGCTGTGCGATAATACAGTTTACGTTTTCTTATATATCCAACTATACTATATATTCAACTTATATATATATATATATAGCTGTTCGATAATATAGATTGCATCATGCTATATATCCAACTTTTTTATAAATCCAACTATATAGATAAAGCTGTGCAATAATATAGTTTGTTTGGCTATAGAAGCACACAGCGTCTTCACGACATGGCGGCAGCAACAATACTACAGCGAGAATAAAAGTTACGCCTTCTTTCTGTGCGTGAACATTTGGGCGGCGTTATGCAAATCTTCCCACATAGTGAGGTAGACATGTGGGGGCGTGTTAGAACGAGCCGTTTTAGGGGGGTGTGGCTGACTCTGAACTTTTATAAAGATTATCTCTTTGGATTTGAGACTTTAGTCTTTGCAACTTTACAGATCTTCTTTATGCACCAAGAGCTTGTAACACTCCAAAGAGAAAGAACAACTTGAAATCGCATCATATAACCCCTTTAAATATGGACTATACTATATATTCAACTTTAAATAGAGAGCTGTGCGATAATACAGTTTACGTTTTCTTATATATCCAACTATACTATATATTCAACTTATATATATATATATATAGCTGTTCGATAATATAGATTGCATCATGCTATATATCCAACTTTTTTATATATCCAACTATATAGATAAAGCTGTGCAAGAATATAGTTTGTTTGGCTATATATTCAACTATACTACTTATACAACATTATATATATATATATATATATATATAGCTGTGCGCTAATAGATTTCACACTAGATAAAAGAAAATACGACTCTGATGATATTAAACACTGTTCACTGTAGGTGAATTGTCAAAAAACTCCTGTTCAGTCTGATGTTAATAGTTGTGTATTTTGTTGGGTGTTATATTGAGCATGCTCGGAGGATGAATGTCTGCTGGTCTTCACGCAGGTCATTCTCACAGTGAACTCGTGGAAGTTTCCTGCGCTGGAGTCTCCGGGACTCATGGGAAGGGCTGAAGAGCTCCGGGGCAAACACTGACTCCACCGCAGCTCTATCATTCTGCAGTCCCTTCAGAAACACTCATGCATTTCAGAGCAAAGCGCTGCTGCGAAGTGACTCAAACACTCTCAAAGAGAAAAAGCACAGAGAGCTGTCAGGTGCTGAACGTGTAAGAAGGATGGAGCGTTTCGGAGCACTTGATAAAAGCTTCGAAAGCAAACCTACAGAATACGTTCATCCAGAAATCTAAATTCTGTCATCATTAATGACTTACTTTCTTCTGTGGAACACAAAAGCAGAAGTTTTGCTTCAAAAGGATAAGGAAAGGCTCGAGAAAAGACTAGCATAACCTAACGCGGGGCTAGTTGTCATGGATGGAGCGTTTCGGAGCACTTGATAAAAGCTTCGAAAGCAAACCTACAGAATACGTTCATCCAGAAATCTAAATTCTGTCATCATTAATGACTTACTTTCTTCTGTGGAACACAAAAGCAGAAGTTCCGCTTCAAAAAATAAGTCAATGGATAAGGAAAGGCTCGAGAAAAGACTAGCATAACCTAACGCGGGGCTAGTTGTCATACATGCTAGCTTAATGAAACTTAGTTGTATTCACAAGTCAACATTATATAGAGAAAAAAATGATTAATAAATCTAAATCTTTGTAAGATATCACTGAACATAATATATCCAACCTTATATCCAGAGCAGTGCAATAATATAGTTCACATTTTGCTAAATATAAACATATATATCCAACTTTATATAGAGAGATAGATAAAAGTTTATGTTTTGCTATATACCCAACTATACGATATATCCAACTTAGAGCTATGTGACGATAGTTTACATTTTACTGCAGTATATATCTAACTATACTATATAACCAACTTTATATATATATAGAGCTGTGTGATAATATATTTTACGTTTTGCTACGTCCAACTATGTTATATAACCAACCTTATACTGTAAGAGCTGTAACGATAGTTTACATTTTACTACAGTATATAACCAACTATACTATATATCCTAGTTTATATATGTAGAGCTGTGCAATAATAGTTCATGTTTTGCTGTATGTCCAATTATACTATATAACCAGCTTTACATATAGAGCAGTGTGACGATAGTTTATATTTTACTACAGTATATATCAAACTCCAAAATTTGTTTATTTTTAATAATTAAAAAATTTTATTATTTCATATAAAAAAGTGAATTGACTAACAAAATATTTTAGTTTGTCTAGTATTTATTTATTTAGATCAGAAAACATTTACACTGTTATAACGTGCTCCACCTATGGGGCATGTTGTCACAGTTCACTTTCATTCTTTTGGGGTAAAAAAATAAAAAATGTATACACTATATTAATGAAACAAGAAACTTATTTGTACGATACTTGTGAAATGAATTGGGGAAAAAAGGAGTATTCTGAAAGCCAAGTGCATTCACACAAACTGAGAAAGCCCCGCTCTCCTCGACCTACTACTGAGAAGGCTTTTATGATTTCTTGGAAAGTCTGCGACTTCAGTATGTTACACACATACAAATTCTTTAAAAATTGTACAGTGTATAAAAAAGAAGAAAAAAGAGAAAAGTTTAGCTGAATAAAACTCCGAAATAGAACCCTAATGCATGATATCCTGAAGTCACTGAAAGGATTGTAATGCTGGAATCTCACTCGGTGTCTCTGACGTATCAGGTCTTTGAAATCAGAAAAGCAGACATAAATAATTCAGTGTTAACATTTACAATTTCTGGCTCCCTCATCTTCAGTAGTAACTCATTCTCCCAGCAGAGTCTCTGATTCACTGCCCACATGGACAGAAGTTTGGGATTTCCAGCAAACTAATTCTGTCTGCTTTGAGAGGCTTTCACCGGTTTTTCCCATCTCCCACTGAAACAATGTCAGAGGCTCCTGGTGCATATGGCAGCTGCTGCGGCAGTCACGCCGCTGGGGCTGCTTCATATGAGACCGCTTCAGCACTGGCTTCATGGCCGAGTTCCGAGGTGGGCGTGGCAGCGCGGAACTCACCTGGAACAGGTGCGAGAACAGGTGTCGAGGCATGCTGTGGTACACATGGATGCCTCCACCACCGGCTGGGGGGCCACGTACAATGGGCAAGCAGTCTCGGGGGTGTGGACGGGCCCCCAACTGCACTGGCACATCAACTGCCTAAAGTTGCTAGCAGTATGCCTTGCCTTGAACCGTCTTGCTTACGAGGCAAGAACGTGCTGGGCGCATGGACAACCCTGCGACCGTTGCGTACATCAACCGACAAGGTCTGCGCTCCCGTCGTATGTCGCAACTCACCTGCCACCTCCTCCTTTGGAGTCAGAACCATCTGAGGTTGCTTCGTGCCGTTCACATTCCGGGCCTGCACAACCGTGCAGCCGACAAGATGTCTCGAGCTGCGCTCCCCGGAGAGTGGAGACTCCATCCCCAGACGGTCCAGCTGATTTGGAGACGTTTCGGAGTTACTCAGGAAGACCTGTTTGCCTCTCCAGAAAACTCTCCCCTCCAGCTGTTCTACTCCCTGAACACTCGGCACAGACACACTGGCACACAGCTGGCCTCGGGGCCTACGCAAATATGCGTTTCCCCCAGTGAGCCTTCTTGCACAGACACTGTGCAGAGTCAGGGAGGACGAGGAGCAGGTCCTGCTTGTGGCGCCCTACTGGCCCACTCGGACCTGGTTCCCGAAACTGATACTCCTCGTGACAGCCCCTCCCTGGCAGATTCCTCTGAGGAAAGATCTACTGACTCAGAGACGGGGCACCCTGTGGCACCCGTGTCCAGACCTCTGTAAACTTCATGTCTGGTCCCTGGATGGGACGTGGAGGTTCTAGGTGACCTACCCCAAGAGGTAGTTGACACCATCACTTCAGTGAGAGCACCGTCTACAAGACACGCTTACGCCTTGAAGTGGAACCTGTTCGTCGAGTGGTGTTCCTCTCATCAAGAGGACCCCTGAAGATGTCCGATCAGAGTCGTGCTCGCCTTCCTGCAGCAAGGGTTGGAGCGAAGGCTGTCTCCCTCCACCCTTAAAGTTTATGTCACTGCTATTTCTGCTAACCACGACCCGTAGAGTGGAGAACGTTGGGGAAGCACGACCTGGTCCATCAGGTTCCTTAGGGGGGGCGAGAAGGTTGAACCCTCCTCGTCCTCCCTCTATACCTTCTTGGGACCTGTCTCTGGTCCTTGAAGAACTACAGCGGGTCCCATTTGAGCCTTTGCAATCAGTTGAGCTGAAGTTTCTTTCAATGAAGACTCTGCTCCTGATTGCATTGGCCTCCATCAAGAGGGTAGGGGACCAGCACGCATTTTCAGTCGACGAATCGTGCCTAGAGTTTGGGCCGGACTGGATAGTGGATGCCATCACCCTGGCTTATCAGGCACAGGGTGTGCCCTGCCCTGTCAGGTTGTGAGCTCACTCTACTAGAAGCGTTGCATCCTCCTGGGCTCTGGCTCGTGGTGCCTCGCTGACAGATATTTGTAGAGCTGCGGGCTGGGCGACCCCCAACACATTCGCTAGATTCTATAGCCTTCGTGTGGAGTCGGTCTCCTCCTGTATTCTCACCTCAAACAGGTAGAGGCACTGAGAGGCCCCGGTTCAGTGTCGGCTTGCTAAAACTACTCCAGAGTGTCCATACTGTAGACCCTGTCGAGCTCCTCCATCCCCTCGGCAGCAAGATGTGGCGGAACATCTGGTGCCAGGTCCTCACTCTATTATGAATCCTTGAGAACCGGTAGAGGGCTGGGTTCCATATGTAGAGACCTAAATACGTGTAAAGTCCACGGTATAGCCTCAGAGCCCGTGTTTCCCCGGCAGACTTCTGCCGTTTCCAAGAGGGTTATAATCACCTCTAATCTTCCATATGCACCTAAATGGTTGTTCATATGTGTAAGTACTTCCGAAACCTCCTTCAGGAAGGATGGGGCTTCCGCAAAGTTCTTGTTCCAAGAGGTATGGTTAAGTTTTCCCAGTGTTATCCAATCTCACTGAGTGGGTAGTGCTATGACAACAGTGACAGGTCTTCTTGTTGCAAGCCCCGGCCTACACCAAAAAGGGGTGCAGGAGGCTCGCACAAGACACTGGAAGGGGCAGCATTCCCTGAAGGTGGGAATGGAGATGTCACGTCCCGTCGCCACGGCTGCTGTACCACCGCTGAGCGGCCGGGTCACCGGCTCGGCTCCTCAGCGAAAACCTATGCGTATGCGTTGCATCTGCTGCCTATTTATACTCACCCTGCGATCAGCGGCAGCTGGATGCAATCACCGTATTTTACACTCAAAGTAGATTGGTCTCCCTAGCGAGATTCCCAATTCATCGGTCACTGATGTGACATCTCCGTTCCCTCCTTTAGGGAACGAGGGTTACAATACGTAACCGAGACGTTACAGCGACTCCTACAGGAGACACTGAATCTCAACACATAATAATAACAATGCTGATAAAGTTATGAAATATCTCATGTTCACAGACATAGGCCTGTCGCAACAATCAATATATCGACTTATTGCGCAATATACGTACATGACCGCAATAATTTTTGGTGATGCAATATATCGCCCATTATATTTACTTAAAGGGGTCATATGATGTTGCTAAAATATGCTGTTACATTATGATTATATATTCAGTGGCATGAAACGGTATTTAAAATGACAATAATATCACATCGCTATTTTTTCTGGGGCAATATATCGCACAACAAAAAGTTGTTATCGTGACAGGCCAACCCAGACACTCAGTGTGCCAATATCACAATAAACAAAAATGTAATTTAAATTAAAATCAGCATTTATTTAAAATTCTTAATTCCACTTTAAAATATACAGTGGGTACGGAAAGTATTCAGACCCCCTTAAATTTTTCACTCTTTTTCTTTTTTAATAAATCTGCAAAAATGTCAACAATTCTGTGTTTTTCTGTCAATATGGGGTGCTGTGTGTACATTAATCAGGAAAAAAAATTAACTTTATGCAAAAAAAAAATTAGCAAATGGCTGCAATATAACAAAGAGTGAAAAATTGACGGGGGTCTGAATACTTTCCGTACCCACTGTATCTAATAGAACAGGTCAGATTTCTGTTATAGTACTAATAAACTGAATGAGTTACCAGCTTTATATATTTATCATCAATAAATCCAATTTGTTGTGGTCTCGTGCATTTTAAATAAGTATTGCCTATTCCACAGCAGGTTTATTATAGTTAACGAAAACTATAACAAACAGCAAAAAAAAAAAAAGTGACTGAAATAAAATGCAATTCTTTTTTATTTCAACTGGTTGACAAGGCATTTCTCATTTTTGTTTAGTTTAACTTGATACACCAAAATCACTAAAAGAAAAACTTAAATAAAAATGATATATATCAATAAAACAATATATAATAAAATACATTTATTATTCATTAAAAAATGAAATGCAAATATCTAATATAGTATCTCAATGAAACTAAAATAACACTAGCCATATTTATTCATGATCATACTGAATTATATCCAGTATATGGTCATATTTAAACACTATAAAACTTTACCACGATTCGACAAAAGACACTAGATTTTCGTTTTTTCACAAACTAACTTGTATCTTTTCCCATGTTCGTTACAGATGGTGAGAATCACAAGCACAGGCACAGTTTTAGAGTCGTGTTAAATTTTATTTGGTCTTGCTCCTTTTTGCAGTCTTTTTCTCTTTTTTTTTTTTAAATTGAAAAGTTCCACAGGTTAAAACCCATTACAATTAGCAAAATAAACATTCAGCCTTTAATACAGAAACAACACACTCACGATTGAGCTCACACACGCGCACAGACGCACGCACGCACGCACGCACGCACGCACGCACACACACACACACACACACACACACACACACACACACACACACAGAGAGAGTAATGGAGTGATTAGGCCCAGCCCATTGAGAATAACACTCACACGACAGATGTTATACGGGCTTCAACAGAACTGAATATATAGCAATAAGCTTCAATTAAAACACGAATCATCATCAACAAGAAATCTTCCCCTCACACAGAAGATTCTCCCTCAAATCGGCAAGTTTTTAGCAGGTAGTGGAAGATGAGTGTGAACGTCCGTGAGCCTGAGAGACGCCTGGAGTGTTTTGGTCGAGGAAATCTCAAAAACCATGAGCGTAAAAGAAGAATTCAGATTCTCTTTTCAATCAAGGCACACAGTCCCACTCTGACACTGTAAAGCACAGATTTGGCCATTTGCAGCACCCATATCTCCACAGACTCCAGTGAAGAACCGAACAAAACCTAAAGATATGTCTTAATATAAAATACAATAAAGCATCCTAACGTGGACTGTGTCTCTGACCCTTAAATCTCTTGAATCCAGTGTGTTAAAGGCCTCAGTAATAAATATGACTAGCTTGCGATTAGCTTTATTCACCATCATCCTCATCACTAATGAGGAGAAACGATCTGCTCGCAGAGGTGTTTGTGAACGTCAGTCAGAAGACAGAGATATCCAGCAGGAGCACCCCATATCCGTGGAAGCTTATTTTCACCACAGAATACAACATGAAAAGGCTAACTGCAACTTTTTATCCTGCAATTTGTACTTTTTTCTGACAGTTCTACGTTTATAACTCACAGTTGAGACTTTAACTCAGGTATAACCTCAGAATTGCGAGACATTAATTATGAGATTGTTCCAATGACCTTTTTATTCCGTGGCGGAAATGAGCTTCCATATGCAGAAGGAGTTTCACCGGCAAGTCTTGTTTTCCGATAAAAATGATCGATATGAATTGAGTTTGCTGCTTAAAACAAGAAAGAAAATTTGGAGGAAGAAATATAAACTTGTTTCCCTTTGAATTAAGTTCAGTTTTCTTACACCATGAACACATTTCTTTCTTGCTTTAAAAACTCATTTTGATCATTTTCATCGGAAAACAAGACTTTTCAGTTTGCATCTCTAGTAAATGTATTTTGACTTTTGAATATTTAGATATTATGTACTGGAAATCCAACCTAAAATCAACTGGATGAACTTTTGTCAAAAGCACCTACACTGAAAAACACAAGTCTCGTCGCAATGCCAAAATGTTTTAGCCATTAACAACATTTTGTGACGTTTGAGAAATATAAAATGGATTTCCTCTCAATGCATCTGAATTCAAGACGATTTAAATATTATTTTACTGGAAAACCAGACAGAACTACTGATGATGAAAGTGATTTGAGGTTTACGTATTGCTTCGGACTAAAACTCTACCTGACGCTTTTCAGTCCAACGTTTGGCGAGCCAACACGATGGTATCTAAAAAAAAAAAAAGATTTTGTGATTTCATAATCTCAGGCTGATCTGTATTTCTACTTCTGTCAGCTGATACATCCCCATAATCTCAACTCAAACACCACCAGCGAGGTCAGCAGAACGTTTCTCGACTCATTCAGGGACGCGTGACGTGGATTATGAAACGCAACTTTTGTCGCCTTCAGAGACGAATGTGGGCTGAAACGAGGAATCATTTTGAAATCATATGACAATAACTACATCACATTTGAGACCAGATAAAGCGATGCAACGTGTGCGTATCTACTTAAGCGCAACTAGAGGCCGTTAAGACCCTGAGACAGTGCTGAAAGACAGGAAGACCAACCAATCAAGAGAGGAAGACACTGAGGTTTTGTGACTCCCGGGAGGAGTCACGCTGCTGAATGAGCATTCAGAACCCATCAACACATCAGCAGTATTGGGTCAAATGGAAATCTCCTTGGTTTTGTTTCCCAGAATTGGCATGGACCCTCGTTTGCGGGACAGTGTTCAGAACCTGTCGTCTCTGAGAGGAGCTGGTGATCTGAACGGACTGAGGCCGAGGCTCCGGTGAGGATGGACCCTCTCTTTGGTGCCGCCCATCCAGCCCAGGTCTATGAGCGGCGAGTCGGCCGGGTTCAGCGGCGCCACCCTGAGCGACAGATTGGGACTTCCGTTGGTGGAGCAGGGCGCCGAGCGCGAGGTGGGGAAGGGGGCCGAGAAGGGGTCAAAGGTTGAGGCGTGGTCCGAGTTCATGGAAGGGTCGAACTTCAGATTAAAGGGATCACAGTCCGGGGAAGGGAAGAGGTCACAGTTTGTGAAGGGGTTTGTTGGCGAGGGCTGGTACCCCAGTCGAGGGCTCGTGGGACTGCTGACGGCTTTCTTGGCGCCCGGTCTGTCCGTCACACCGGCCGATACGAAGCTCCACGGGTCGATGCGGGGCCGGTTAGGGGACGGTCGCGGCCGAGGGACGATGTTGACCTCCAGACGCCGCGTTTTAGGGCTCCACAATCGGGGGTGTGGATACAGGGCGAACGGCAGCAGAGACTTGTCCTCGGCCTCAAACGTGTCCTGACACAGCGGAAGATCCAACACTAGTAGAGAAGACAGAGAAGAGGATTAGCTATGGTTAGTGAGTGAAAAATATTTTGAACCAAAGTTCAATGCTTAATTAACGGTTCTGAATAGCTGTACAGTGTTAAATGCAAAGATGCATTTTTCATAGATTTATTGACTCATTCCATAATTGATTACTTCACATGGTTGTGAAACTGAACTCAATCAACGATGATCTGACTTTAACTGAAAAATCCACCATTTACTATCGCCTTCTTTTTAGAGCTGCTCTACAGCAGAAGTGAATTGTGTCTGCATCACTGGAACATTATTTTCCTCTTGAACACTGTAAAGCTGCTTTAACACAATCTGTACTATAAAGTGCTATATAAATAAAGGGGAGTTATTAAAGTTAACTAAAACTAAAATAAATTTAAAAATCTTACTTGAAATAAATGTCACTGAAATAAAATTAATAAAAACCTAAAATGACCACAACTAAAACAGAAATAAAACAATTTAAAAATGATATATTATAAAACAAAAACTGATAAAAATGACAAAAAACACACAACAAATTACTAAAATTGTAAAATAAAAATTGAAAACTGAAAATACAAATATAAAAACTAATTCAAGTTATTAATAAAAACTAGAATAGTATCTCAGTGATACTAAAACAACTGTTTATATGGTGTAATAACTGACCCAAATTATTAATGCACACATTATAGCTAAATCAACACAAACAAATTATTTTAAACGGTTCAATGGTCTACTGTCAGTTTTCCTTTATACATTTTTGTATTGGTGCATGCATTTGTATTTTTTAATTTACATTTATGAATTTGGCAGATGGTTTTATCCAAAGCCACTCACGTTGCATTCAAGGTTTACATTTTGATCAGTAAATGCATTTCCTGGAAATCAGACCATTGGCTTGGCATTGCGAGCTAAAACCGTAAATGCAAATGGAAAACTGAGATTTTTACTGTAATTTAATATGTGCAATAAATATTTTTGATCTACTTTCTGTTTGGTCCAGACAGCAGTTCCTCTGATGGGTTTTTATACACACACACACACACACACACACACACACACACACAAAACAGCACACTTGAGAACTTGTTTAAAAGTTCTGTGTAATAATTAATCAGAACTGTTAAACAGAGACAGTAAAGTAAACTAATGAAGATGGAGAATGCTCTGTGCGCTAGGGCTGTCAAAAAAAATTGAAATTTCGAATATTCGTCGAATTTAAAATAAAAATCCATATTGAATGTTGCATTCGATCACACACACACTCACACACACACTCACACTCACACTCACACACACACTCACACACACACTCACACACACTCACACACACACTCACACACACACACACACACACTCACTCACACACACAGCACACTTGAGAACTGAAGATGACCAGCATCATCCACTGACTACTATCCCTATTAACCAGCCAGGAAGGAAATCAGATGATGATATATTGTTTAAATGTGCCAATATCAGCCTATTATGTAAATTGGCCACTATATCAGTCCATCAGTGTAAATACATCTAAATGTTGCTTTAGATGCAGCTTCTGTGCCACTTCTGCATCAACAAAATCCATTTTAAAACCACAGATTTAATGTTTGATAACAGCCTATAGTGTTTTACTATTCTAAATGAATTAACTGATTAAATGCAGGAATTTTACATTAAATATGACGACAACATCTAATAATAATATACTGTTTATATATAACATAGTATATAACACTTTGTTTAAAAGTTCTGTGTAATAATTAATCAGAACTGTTAAACAGAGACAGTAAAGTAAACTAATGAAGATGGAGAATGCTCTGTGCGCTAGAGCTGTCAGAAAAAATTAGAATTTCGAATATTCGTCGAATTTAAAATAAAAATCCATATTGAATGTTGCATTCGAATTTTAGGTGTGCGTCAGGAAGCCTTATCAGCGGCGCACGAGATGCGATGACGATGTGAGTGTCGTTGCATTATAATGCTTTTGTTAGTCTATCCAGTTGAAGCCACTAGATGCGGCGCTAGTGCGTTGTTCATTAAAAATATTGCGGGAAAAGAGAACATCAATGCAGAGAAGATCTTGTTTACATCATATTTCGCACATTTTCTAGAGGGACATCTATCACCGTTGCACTCGCATCTCGCACAAAAGAGCCACATGTTTAGAAAGCCATGTAAAATTAATGCAAGTTTATCTCGAGACTTTATGGCGTGTTTTTTCCCCATCCCACTGCATCGCATGTTTGTACTCTGAAAAATGTACTCTGTGTGATTGGCTTTCGGCCCTTTGTATTATACTACACATACATGCACGATGCCGTTTTGTTTATAGTTGTTTAAGCAACTTAATTA